TTCTTTGTTGCTCAGGGTCTGTCTTGTGTGAAATGGGGGAGGGAGAGTAATAAGCCTCTGGTCCTCACTCTCTGTCCCTCCCTTTGTCTTCCTGTCTCTGCTCCACACTCCCTCCCTGTCTCTCCAGGCCCGGGCAATCCGCAGCCCACCTCCTCGCTGTCCCCGTGCTCGGAGCCGCGCGTCACGCAGTTCATCCGGCAGTTCGTGCCGCAGTGCCTGCTGGTGTCGGACTCCAACACGGAGCTGTCCTACGTGCTGCCCTCGGAGGCGGTGAAGAAGGGCTGCTTCGAGAGGCTGTTCCAGGTGCTGCCGGCCAGGAGCCCCACACGCACACCTCAAACAGGCGTAGGGGATTGAAACAGCGAAACACGAGTGGGAAAGGCAGGGATGCACATTTAAACCTGAGGATGGGGGAGGGGGGGGGGCATGTCTTTACACCGAGAGTTTTGGAGTGTGGAGCAGCTCTCCTCTGCCATACTTTTGACACCCTGGTTTCTTTCCAAAAAACCAGCTGGATTAGATCCTCAGATCTTTTAACTAGTAATGGACAAATGGCCTCATCTTGTTTGTAACCTGTCTCATGCTCTGTTGTTGTGTTGCGAACAGACTCTGCCGTCTCTGGTCTGTCGCCCAGCTTTATTATTATTTGTAGTAGTTTAATACAAAACCTCCTGAGGTTCTAGCAGAGAGTGTGTCCTGTGAAACAGAAGATGTCGTTTTTTTCTCCTTCCTCTGTGACGCCCGACCCCTGTGCCTCCCCACCCCCCTCCCCGCAGGCTCTGGAGCAGAGTCTGGACAACCTGGCCCTCACCAGCTTCGGGCTGATGGACACCACTCTGGAGGAGGTGTTTCTGAAGGTCTCAGACGAGGACCAGTCCCTGGAGAACAGCGATGCCGGTGAGGTTTGGAGGGTGAACGGAGGGGGAGTTTGGGGACAGAGGGGGGAGGCGGTGGTTTTGGTGGAGGTGGTGGGTTTAGTGAAGGGGGAGATGGATTTGGGGGAGGGAGGGAGTGGTGGGGGAGGAGGGTGGTAGGTGAAGGGAGTTCAGTGTAGAATAGCTGTATATTGTTTTGTTTATCTGTGTGTACATCACCTCTCCCGGTGACTCAACTGTGCCCCTCCCTCTCTCAGACATGAAGGATTCCCCCAAAGGCTGTGTGCTGGGCAAGGCAGGCAGGGGATGTGGAGGGATGCCGCAGTGCGAGGGCGTGCCAGCAGGGGGCACTGTGAGGCCAGAGGTGGAGCTCAGTAACCTGGTGGTGTGCTCGCAGCTCAGCCAGAGCCAGGGCTCGCTCCGGTCGGCCTCTTCCCTGGGTTCGGTGCGCGGAGACGAGGGAGGGCTCTATGCTGACTTCTATGGCGACTACTGCCCACTCTTCAACAACACCGAAGACACTGACACTGCCAGCCTGCAGGGTGAGACCCCGAGAGACACCGCGCCACACCGCAGGCACATGACTCCCCAAGAGACACTGAGTCACCGTGACACACCGACAGACTCCATGACACACCGCAGGCACATGACTCCCCAAGAGACACTGAGAGTCACCATGACACACCAACAGACTCCATGACACACCGACAGACTCCATGACACACCAAGAGAAAGCGAGTGTCACCGTGATACATCAACACACCAAGAGTCATGGTGACGCTGAGACATCGAGAGACACCGAGAGTCACCATGACACACTGACGGTGACGTGACACACTGTGAGACACCGGACAGACACACAACACGTGAACATGACCCACCGAGAGATATAGAGGCACACTGTGACGCTCTGACGTGCACCAGTAAAAGCTGCAACACTGGAACGATTAGAGAGATTGAGATGCACAACAGCGACCAGGCATGAAAATGAAAAATAAATGAAAAATGATTTATTTATTTTTTAATGCTCCCTCTCTCCATCACAGCTGACCCGGCCCCCGAGCCACAGCTCCCCCTGCTGGAGGGGCAGGGCAGCTTCAAGCTGGAGGGCTGGTGGCTGCAGCTGCGCCAGTTCCACGGCCTGATCGTCAAGCGCTTCCACTGCGCCAAGAGGAACACCAAGGGCCTGTTCTCCCAGATCCTGCTGCCCGCGTTCTTCGTCTG